ATTCAGTTCGATTCAGTTCACTTCAGCAAGCAACTTCAGCCAGCAGGCTTCGTCGCCAGCGCTCGGTCTTCGGATACATCGGCAGGCTGCGCCGGGCACGACTGCCTCGGCCCTCCAGCGCTCTCACACCCGACTCACTGGGGCACAGCGCCTGGACTCGCCGGTGGTCGCGTTACGGTCCGACCCACTGGGCCTCTGGCGTAGCCACTGCCTCATGGCTCCTACAACCGCGCTCGACTAGCCTTTCACCACCGGCAGCAACCTCCGCCATTTGCCGCGCCGCGATCAAGCAACCTCCAACCACGGCCTAGCCTTTCCACTAGCCTTTCACCGCAGCAAGCCTTTCTCCTTACCGGCGCGCGCCGCGCTACCTCACCGATCAATCATCTCAGCAACCACGGTCCTTTTCAGGGCCAACAAATTGTTCCGAAGAAGTGGGTTGTCATAGGAGTAATGACAAAGACACACGTTAAGAGAGCCCCACAGATCCTTTGAAACTATGGTAAAATTTAAATATTTGGGAATGACAGTAACAAATCCAAATTTGACTGATAAGGAAATGAAGAGCAGATTGAATTCTAGTAATGCTTGCTACAATTTAGTTTAGAGCCCTTATCTTCTTGTCTGCTCTCTATAAGCATAAAAGTTAAAATATACAAAACTCCAACTTAGCCTGCAGTTTTGTATGGGTGTGAAACTTTTCTCTGACATTAAGAGATGACAGACTGAAGATGTATGAGAGCAGGGTACTTTGGAGAATATTTGGTTTGAAGAGGTCTGAAATGGTAGGAGGTTGGAGAAAGTTGTATAATGATGTGCTTCATAATTTGTACACTTTTCCAGGTATAATTAGAATGATCAGGTCAAGGAGGGTGAGATTAAAGGGAATGTAGCACGCAGGAGAGAAGCTGAATGAATGTAGGATTGTGGTGGAGGGCTCTTGTGAACATGGTAATGAACCTTTGGGTTCTGTAAGACATTTTGGAACATCTTTAGTGACTGAACAACTAGCAGCTTCTCAAGAAGGACTCATCTCCATGGAATTAGTTAGTGGGTTAAAATTTGGTTCTATATAAAGGAAAAATATAATTGTGCACCTTTAGGAAACGAAAAAATGACCCCACTATTAGAAATCACCACAGTTCTAACACTATGAAATCCACACATGTGTGGAAAGTAAGTGTCAGAAACTGTGGTTAAAGTGTCAGAAATAATATACGATATAAACTCCGTCCTAAGAGCAACAATATATTGTAGGTCTTTCATCTTGCTTTCTTCTACACTACATGTTTCGGCTGCAAACGGCCATTATCAGGTGTATACACTCACGTAGCTGTTACACCGCACCCAGTTTAAAATTAAAAACATACAGGTCTTCCCAGTTGTTCCCTTTGTCACTGCTAACAGGACCTACTTCGCTGATATTTGTCTGATTCGTACCTCATCTTTGCCACCCACACACATCAATTTTGACCTTCATGAACTGGCACTTTTAAAATCTTCAGTTCCAATTTTAAAAATTCTTTTACATTTTTTTCCCAAATTTAAAATTTAAAATTTAAAATTCTCAGGGTTGCTTGCCCCATATCTATAGTGCTGCAGTGGCTACTTCTTGTTTTCAGCACTGTACAGGTGTTATCTGTTAAAAGAATTTTTAAAATTGGAACTGAAGATTTTACAAGTGCCAGTTCATGAAGGTCAAAATTGACGTGTGTGGGTGGCAAAGATGAGGTACGAATCAGGCAAATATCAGCGAAGTAGATCCTGTTAGCAGCGATGAAGGGAACAATTGGGAAGACCTGTATGTTTTTAATTTTAAACAGGGTGCAGTGTAACAGCTACGTGAGTGTATACACCTGATGATGGCTGTTTGTGGCCGAAACATGTAGTGTAGAAGAAAGCAAGACGAAAGACCTACAATATATTGTTGCCCTTAGGACGTAGTTTATATCATATATCGTATAGAGTGCAACAGGATGCTTAAATATAATATTGTCAGAAATAAATTTGAATGGATGTGGTCTGGGGTTGTTTCTGCGCATACACGTGACATTAGCTCCACAGATCAGGACCATGACAGTCCAGATCTATTGGGGAAGCTCTGCTTATATAGCTGCCTGTCTTAAATATTGCGTAGAATGACAGTATACACTAAGCAGTGCTGCTGTCTATAAATGCTGTGAACTCTTGTCAGTAAAGCCATTTATTTTGGTCATCTTATGCTAGTGTTTGTAACCTCTAGTAAGTCTAACTGCCATTGTACATAATGACAGAATAGCAATCATAGGTCTTAGCCTCATATATATTGTAATATGTTTTGTCTCTGAAGATGCAGTGCAGATTGTTAATTGGTTTATTTAACAACCTACAAATCGTAACTACAATTAATTATAGCACAGTTGCGGGTTTACACAGTTTATAAATCCTACACGATAATCTGTTCACTCTGTCTTCACTAGTCTTCACTTATTCACAGTACAATATGGGAGCTATACCAGTGTCACTGTATTACACACTCCCAATACCTTCTCGCACTATCGCCTCTAATCACATATTCTGGTCTTTGCGTTCACGATTCACTCACTACAACTGAACTCTGCGACTGCTACAATTCAACTCGTAACTCAATACTCACTACTGTAGTAACTCCCTCTCTAGTAACTCTGGTTACACTGAAGAATACTCCTCGTTATGTAGCTTCCGCACTGACAACACAGAAAACAGACACGTGATAGCTACCACTGTTGTGTGATGTCATGTTTACCAATTGCCAAGCAACAGTCTCTGCATGGAGTCGCCTGTTGCCATGTAGTAACCGCAGTGTCCCCTGTTACATCACTGCGGGAAGTGCTGTTATGTCACCGCGGGGGAGGGGGGTGTCCTGCACAGCACAAATACGTCACACTATATATAAGGATTGATAGCAGTTTCTGTGGTTCAGATTGGTTGGTTTCTAATGTTGCTTTGTGACAGTTAAATTGTTTCTGCTTTTAATCTCAACTGGTTGGCATATTGCAACTCACTTTCTGTTCAGACACCACTTGGATGAGTGACACTATCCAGTTGTACTTCAGTTGGGCTAACTGGTTTTCAAGTTGTTCCCACACTTGTCTCTGCAGCCTTGTAACTGAAATGACATCAAGAAGAAGCGTAGGGAGCTTAGTGGGCAACTGAAAACAGCTTCTAATTTTGCCCTCATTCACCTCTTATAAGTGAAAGGTGTTTTTATGTGCCATAGATGTGCAACATGGGACCCCCAGCTTTACTTCCATTTCAAAGGAAGTTGTGCTAAAAATTTATATTGCCCTTAAAAATCCATCTATTGAACCTGCAAACCTTAAGTCCAGTGGGTAGCATGTTACCACTAGACAACAAGGTAAACTTAGCCTCTTATATATAAGGACCAGTAGCAGTTTCTATGGTTCTGAGTCAGGACTCCAAAAATGAGGCTTTCTGCTGACAATACCTGTTTTTGTGTAGGAGCTCCAAGAGCTAAATGAGAAGGCAAGCAAAGCACAAAAGAAGAATGAAGAGCTAACAGCAGCCAGAGAGGCACAGAAGAGCCACATCACAGACTTGGAGAGTTCACTGCAGAATGCAGCCAATGACAGAGATTCCTTGATGAATAAGGTGTTGCATCTCCAACAAGCAATTGATGAGGCAAGAAAGAGAAAGCAGGTACAAAATGTGTGCTTCTTTTTGCCCAGTAACATATTACAAGTATAAATCCTAACATATTGTTACGTGTTGGGTGTATAACGCGACAAATAGCTTCACGCCTTAGTGGATATAGCGAATTTTATTCCACATTCGCTCTTACAGTCACACAATTTACAGTCTCACAATTACTGCTATTTGCAGTATCACAAATACTAGACTGCAAATGCCAGAATACAACTGACTGGTTGCTGGCTAACTCATTACTCCCACTGGCTCCGCTGCTCCTTATTTAGCCTCGTTCCGGACAGCACAGAAAACAGCCACGTAATAGGCACCATTGTTGTCTGGCGCCGTGTTGCTAGCAACGCTGTTGGGAGTTGTCTCTCGCAACCACTGTTTACCCACGTTGCATAGCGACCAGTGTGCTGGGACTCGGCTCGCTTAGGCTCCGCTCGGCTCACTTCGGCTCCGCTCGTCGCGTCACTGCCACTGGGGGGGGGGAGTGGTGTACTGCATAGCGCGACTCGTCACAATATTAATAAATTTTGGTGTTATGTGTCACATACATAATGAGAATATATGCTGAAAAATATTCTGTTGGAAACTTTCCACTAGGAACATAGAAATTTAAACTTTTTCATATTATGTGAAAAAATCTCCTTGGTCAATCAGCCATGTCAATATTGGTTTAAAAACCAATATTCCAAAGATGTCTTCCATCTCTGAAACTTTAGTTTTTAACTCAACATTGACATGGCTGCTCAGCCAAGAAGATTGTAACATATTTGTTTGCCACAAAAATGGTTTATGTGGACAGATTTATTATCACCTTTCTTTTACTTTGATATCAGTGGTAACAGGATCAGATCTGAAACTATTCTTAGTGCCTCCAGTTCGAAATGTCATTGATACCCAACCAATAGTTTGAGATGAAATATGTTGACACAGGCATGTAAACACCATTATTCCTTATGCAGGATTTTCGGTTCTCACAATAGTCATTATGAAGAATCCTATATTCTGGAATACAGTGCAGTGTAGTCCACTAAAAGTCAACCAACATTTTGGAAGACCATGCTCTATAAGTTTTCTTCTTTGGGCAAACAGTACCACAAAAATGTTCATAGTATTTTTGTTATCAGCTGTGAGGTGCTAAGATAGTTTTGTTTACTATTGTTAATTAAGGAGGATTCTGGATATTTCAGTCAGTATAGTGACTAAGCTGTTGACTGGAAAACTGAAGAACTGTGGTTTCTTTCTCAGCAGTTAAAAGGGATATTTCCATTCTATAGAGTCGTCAAACTGGCTGTGGATCCCACTCAGCCTCCCATCCACATATGTTCGCTCCCCTGTACATTTCCATTTTTGGTACTTAATTAAGCATAAGGACAACATTACTTTTACCTAATTTCCTTTATTGTTCATAAAGGAAAACTTAAATTGAGTTTATGTTTATGTCACTGAACTGACATAAATCACTTAGATTTGCATGTCGATCATTATATCTGTAGTAATGCACTATGACCATTGTTGAACTGTACTCAAGATGTTGACCTATGAACTTAGTGTAAAGTTAAACGCACTGATGTAATATGTCACTTCAGTCAAGTCTTGGTTTAAGGAATTTATCATGCTTTTAGGCTTTGTCTGAAGGGTTGGAACAGACAAAGGCCAGATCAATGGCTCTGGAAGTTGCAAACAGTGAGCTGGACTCTGTGCTAGAGCAGAAAAGAAATGTCAAATTAGGCCTTACAAGCCAGCTTGAACAGTGTGAGATTGAGATGAAGGATATGAATGGAATCCTCGGTGAAATTCAGGATGCCTGTGACAAAAAACAAGAGGACATCAAGAGACTGCAGGAGCAACTACAGACAAAACAGTATGTACAGGCTAAGTTTAAATCTTTTTGGTAATGGTGTGACACATATTTAAAACTGTTGACTTGTCAGCTGCTCTGCTGGTTTGAACATGTGTTGAAAGTGTTGATATGAGGAACCTGTGTCCCTTGTGCTGGACCAGCCAGACAATTTGTGACAGGCTCTCAAAGAACCTCAATGCACACTAAGAAAATTTATTGAGTTTGTCCTGCATGACCATAATTTTATGGAGGTTCTGGTGGAGGAAATGTACTTTAACTGAAAAGATGTGCTTAATATAAATGTGAACATGCTTTATTTATCAGATATTATAAGGATAGCTCTCATTAGAAGCTTGACATTTTTCATAATTGTTCTTCTGAGGCATCTAAATACGTATATGAACAGTCATGTCATAGCTCATTTCTGTGGATGGCTAAATGAGCAAGGAAAGAAGTCAAAACTGTGGTGAAATATTGACCATGCAGAATTGTTCTTTATAAGATGGACCACATAAATTTTTTGACACACAGTTAGTCTGAGTTTACAAGATTCATAGATGAGATTCAGGGATGCAAACTTAACAGAACTGAAGCTTAGTGAGAGTTTAAGCATGGGTCCTAGCAGCTGGTTCAGTTATTCAGTATAGAGGGGGTGGGTTTCCCCATGCACCACGACTAATAGTCTATTGTACGTCCCCCTTTAATTTCTACTGTTTCCATACCCTACCAATACTGGTGCCCACTATCTCCCCTTTCTGCCAGCGAGGTCGGCCCTCTACTGGCAGTGGTACCCGATAACTCTCCCCTTTCTGCCAGCGAGGTCGGCCCTCTACTGGCATTGGTACCCGATAACTTCCCCATCTACCGGAGGCATTGGAAACTACTTGGGAAAACATTTTGCCTAATTTTGCCCAGAGGTCTCCTAGAGACATGAGGATCTTTTACGTGCCATAAATCTACGACACGGGACCCACGGCTTAAAGTCCCTCCTGGAGGACTTGTTCCCTGAATTTTTCTACCCTTAAAAATTCCACGACATCCTCCGGGTTTGAACCCGCGTACCTTGAGTCATGAGGTGGGAACGTTACTCCTAGACTACGGAGGCCACTTAGCAGCTGGTTGGTAACCATCATTTTCATGCTGGCCAGTGACTATGCTCAAAGCTTGATGAGCTGTGAAAACTGTTTAATTAGCGATTATGAATTATTTGGATGGGTGTGTGAAATACATGAACAGTTTGTAGAAGAGCAGAGTAGTCAATATTAGGCAAAAATACTAGGCTGCATGAATAATAACTGTAATATGATAATACTTATGTATGTGTTGTAAATACTGTAAATAGACAAGAACAAGGTGTTCTTATTTAGCAACAGTAATCCAGAATGGCTGGAAGGTTGAGTAATTCCAGTGAGCCGACTTTCATACCTATGTAATGCAGAGAAAGGACAGGTGATGCTTCACAAATGTGCAGATCTTAGGTCTTTTACTTTTCTAGTCTGTCGGCAATGTCAAGCTGGTGATAAGCTACAGACATTTTGGCTAGGATCGGGGGCAGCTACGTTATTGAAGTAACAAATCCTGACAGCATGGTGGAAACTATACAGGCTTTTCTTTCTCTACCTCAAGAAGGGAAATCATGTGGTAGCAGCAACCAGATGTAATAGGCCATAACCCATATCATGGTTAATAGATTAATCAGTGAGGATGTGTATAAAATAAAGGCCCTCCTTTTGGGGAATGGTGCTACATCATATTAAGCTTTTATGAACATCACAGTGCATAAGTTGCAAGAATATAAGGATTTCTTTCTCTCACTGAAGTGCTGTCCTAATGTCAGAATGTGAAATTTGGACTGTTTTCAAATTTCATGCTACAACAGAGTGAACTATTGTTAATTCAGCTTCATCGGGACCAATGTCTCACAAGTTGTCCATTTTACATGTTTCTTTATTCTGCCATGTGAATTGTTTCCATTTGTTTATTGTTGCAATGCATAGTGACAAAAATAACATTCTTTTTTGTAAACTATGCACAAAATTCATAAAATGGCAGACAACAGGAAATAATTCATTATTGTGATCTTCTGGATTATGGTACCATGTAGTCTGGTAGTAGGGTAGCAAAGGGATGTCTGTAGGCTGATAAATGTATGGTTCTTAACATCATTAATAGTTTGGGGATTTTTAAAACTGCTCATAATATTTTGCAGGTTGGAGCAGGAAGCCCTCACCTCCGAGTATAGGACAGAGATAACACAGATGATGATCAAGATTGAATTAGAGAAGAAGACATCGTATGATATGGGTTCAGAACTGCAGAGAGAGGAGCAGCTTGCTAATGTGCTGCTTGACAGATTGAAGGAGGTCAGAGCTTCCAACAGCAGCATGGAACAACAGGTGCGTCCATATAAAAGACTTCATCTTCTATTCTGCCATTATTCTGCCCTAATATAAAAAGTACAACAGGTAGTAGTTATAGACAGAATCACCAGATTCTCAGATTTGAAACTTCCCTTTTCGTCGCCTCCTACGACTTGCAGGGCCACGGTTGAGGTATTCGACCCCGCCTCTCATTAACTGTCTCTTGTCGAAGCTGGGCTTTTATAACCTCGGCGGTTGCTATGCAATGAACCTTCTGTTGTCATGCAACGCTTCGAACAATTCGTTACCTTTCATCTCCTAGGAAATGCGTTTGTTTGCCCCAGGCAACGGCCCACTGTTATTGCGTTGTCGCTATGGGAACTCTCCATGTATTCGTCGTAACCATGGAGATTCATTATAGGCTGTTCACTTCCTATTGTGGCCGTTAATATGCGATGACCATAAGATAGCACGTTACAATATATATAGAGGGTTATGTGTGGAAACTTCTGATAACGGCCAGAACTGTTTGTTTCAAATATTCTTCTCATTTATTGCATCTGAGATCATTCTGAATAGTCTATGACTGTATATTAATTCAAACGAAGATTATAGAATGGACGTGGAGATGGGCTTAAATATTTGTTCACAAGGAAAATGCCTGTGTAATGTGAAATAGCACCACAGCATGTCACACCTGAGGTTGCAGATAGAAGAGATAGCCTCGATATATGGAGGGAATATAAGGAATAAGTAGTTGTAGGTAGCTAATAATGAGATTATCCCCCATTTTGAGGTTTGGCTAGGGCACTTACAGTCTCACATCATGAGAAACAGACATGCTGCGATATGTTACATAGGGCTTTAGACAGAAAAAGAGCAAAAAGCAAAGAATAAAAGCAGGTTAAATTTTGGAGGTTCTTGGTCCATGACACATTAGAGGAAGGACATAGATTGAGGATATTTGAGGATAGGGTGCTGAGGAGAATTTTTGCACCGAAGAGAGTTGAAATAATGGGAGGCTGGAGAAAACTGCACAGTGAAGAACTTCATAACTTGTACTCTTTGCCAAATATAATTAGAATGATCAAGTGAAGGAGGATGAAATGGGCAGGGCATGCTACACACATGGGAGAAAAGAAGAATACATAAAGGGTTTTCATGGGAAAGCCAGAAGGAAAGAGACCATTAGGTAACAGGATATTATTACAAGACATTCTGAGAAGAATTAATTGCATACTTTCCTTTGATAGAACATTGACCACATAAACAAAACGAAAAAATTAAAGGGATACACAGACATACAGACATCAATGTGATCTCATATACCTAAAAGATTAGGAGGGAGATATATGAACAGACAGACAGATGTATAGACATACAGACAGCAGGATGATCTCATAAGCCTCCTTTTATTATTCCAAATAAGGAAAGTGGGCCAAAAATGGATCTTGAAGAAATAGAGTGGGGGATAGACTGGACTTATCTGGCTCTAGGTGGTGACCAGTGGAGGGATTTTGTGAACACAGTAATGAACCTTTGGGTTCCATAAAATGTTGGGTAATTCTTGAGTAGCTGATCTAGTGTTGGCTTCTCAGGATGGACTCTACTTCATAGTATCAGCCAGTCATTACAAATGTTAAACGTCAGCAAGTAGACTATAATCTTTGTTGAAGATATCTGTACTCATAGAATAGAGGAGTGCATCTGAGTCATAGTAGTAGAGATGATATGATTGATACCTGCCATATGTTGACAGTATCTGACAGTATTCTTACTATTCCTACAGTCTGTCTTCATGTCATCAGCAAACAGTACATTGCTGGGATTAGAAATCATATCAAAATGTTGAAGAAAGTATTAAGAGGGATGGTCCCTATTCCATTCCATGTTGAATTCCAGATTTAGCAAATTTATGGTGAATGTTAAATTAAAATGTACTCATTTCAGAATTTGTTTTTAGTCCTGCTTAGTCCTGTATAGTTTTCTACTTTCTCCATTTAAAATTAACCATGACTCTCTGACTTCTGTCTAAAGCAGCATTTTGTAGAACTTATTTTCCTGGCAAACATTTTTGAAAGAAGAACAATGTAATTCAACCAGTATCTTCTCACTGGTCACGAATATAATCATCTGCTTTGTTTGCAGCATTGTCATCAAGTTTTACTTTATGTTATTTGGTTTGTTTTGGGTTCCTTCTGGGGATGTTCTCTTAAAACTGTACAAGTAAGGTGTAATTTTTACCAGAGTAAATATGATATTTTGCTGCAGTGCCAAATGTTGGAAGAGGACATTGCCAAAACCAGTACCAGAGCTGAGGAACTGCAGGTTCTAGCAAATGAAGAAGTTGAGCGTGAAGAGAAGGTAGTGGAGGATCTTAAAGGAGTGGAGATATCTCTACTTGATCTGCAGAATTATCTTGCTGAAAGCAACAGGAAACACGAGGAGTTCATCTTGAAAGTCACCAGAGAAAAATGCGAAGCAGATGAGGAACTAAAGAGTGCTCAGCATGGGCTGCAAAATAGCATTGCCAGTCATGAATGTATGGTTCAGGTGTGAAGCTAATTGAAACGGCTTGTGTTTCTCCTGGCAGTAAAACACCAGAATTGTGTTGCAGAAATTATTGTTTTGGAGAGGGGATGCTTGTGGCTAATTTAATGACACTGCCTGTAGCTTAGACTAGAGTGCTGAATGGAAAATATTGAACTTGAAAGGATGTGCACTGTAGTCATGGCCTAATTTGAGGGTCCATCCCAACATTTGCTTGAAGAGATTTAAAAAACCATAAGAAACTTCAGCCAGAATAGTAAATTTTCTAGCCAAGATTCAAACTTGGCAGCATCCAAATTAATATGTTTGCTCAGAAGGTCTCTGGTTCAAATCTTTGCCAGGGCACCAACTGTCCTGAATGGTAGTAGTTACTATAGGATTCTGATGATGGTGTATAACACACTGATATATTGGGTTTTCGGACTTTATCCATCGTCCTGGTTTTTAAGTTAACTAATAAAAACACGATGTTTTGGAAACTGGATCTGTTTCCGTCCTCAGGTGAAGGAAAACACCTATTCTGTTGGGTCCGTTAGAAAGAGCTAGCCTCAATCACTCAATCACCTCAATCGTCCAGTGATTGAGGCTAGCTCTTTCTAACGGACCCAACAGAATAGGTGTTTTCCTTCACCTGAGGACGGAAGCAGATCCAGTTTCCGAAACGTTGTGTTTTTATTAGTTATCTTAGAAACCAGGATGATGGATAAAGTCTGAAAACCCAATATATCTGTCCTGAATGGTATTTGAGATTCTCACTTTAAATAATGTTAAGGTTATGGTCTTCTGGGACATAATGCCACATAATATGTTAGAAGGATGCCAACATTTGAGATGGTTTACAATATTATGTTTAAGCATCCTGTTGCACTCTATACGATATATGATATAAACACCGTCCCAGTTCAAAATTGACGAGTGTAGGCAACAAAGATAATGCACAAAGCAGACATATATCAGGGAAGTAGATTCTAATAAATCGAAACCTGTTAGTAATGACGAAAAGAACAATTGGGAAGACTCGTGGTTTTAAATTTTAAACTAAGTGCAGCAGCTACGTAAGTGTATACACCTGATGATGGCCGTTTGTGGCCGAAACATGTAGTATAGAAGAGGGCAAGACAAAAGAAGTACAATAAATTGTTGCACTTTGGACAGTGTTTATGTCATATATCATTTGACATGGATCTGCCACCTCTGTCTTGTACCTTGAAGATGGAGGCACCAGGTTCCTCCTTAACATTTGTATGTCTCATCAAATCTACACAGCAGCAGATCCCAGAAGGCTGTAGCGTTACTGTCCTGACTGAGGTTTCATGCGACCACTTGAGCCAACTTGCTCAGTTTTATTCATGCATGTGCATGTGTGTGTATGTATGTGAGGGGGAGGGGGAAGCGTGTTCACACATGCTCCATGCTAAGGGGGTCCCACATCACCATGGTATAGCACATCCCTGGGTCTGCAGGAGAAGGAGACAGCCTCCAGATATGGAAGTTATTTGCGACTGTATTTAATAAGCAGTTGTGGACAGCCTGAAAGGGTTAGTCCTGCAGCTGGTGTTGCTTGTCATGGTGCTATCCACTTCTCACCATAAAAAGAATAATTTCGTTATGAAATGATACAGAGGGCTTTGGACTTCAACGAATTCTATGGAATGACCTAAGCTAAGGAATATGGAAATGATATTTGGCACATGGAACATAAGAAGTCTATGTAGGGCAGGTTCTCTGATAAAAGATGCAAGACAAGAAGGATGATATGAGCAGGGCATATAGCATGCATGGGGGTGAGGATAAATGCTTATAGAATTTTGTTGGGAAAGCCAGAAAGAAAGAGAACACTAGAAAGATGTATACATAGGTGGGATGATAATATTAATATGGATCTTGAGAATTAGGATGGGATGGTGTGGACTGAATTAGTTTGCCTCCAGACGGGAACCAGTAGGTAATCTTGTGAACACTGTGACGAACCTTTGTGTTGCATAAACTGTTGGAAAGCTTTTGAATGGCTGAGTGACTGGCAGCATCTCAAAAAGGACTCAGTATGAGGAGTTGGTTGGTGTGTTTGTTTGGTTAGTTTGCATGTATTGTAACCATTTTTTTACCCTCACATGATTTGAAATTTAATTAATTGTGATATTGCATGTAGAATTTGGTGGCATAAAAGAGACTGTTGAATGGAGTGAATCTGAGGGCACAGTTTACCTTCTGTGATGAGGGTGCATTTGGTTGACATATATGTGTTATATAAAATTAAAAGCAGAATGTAGATAAATCGCCCAAATTGCATCAACTAAAATATACAAATGGCCTCCCATAAATGATATGCACCATTTGATTATAGATTTGGTTGCTGACCTCACTTGATGGTTACAGGAGACGATGATGCTGGTGAATGAGAGTAGACAGAGTTATGCACAGCATATTGAGATGAAGGAGGCTGCACTGATGGCCTGTAGGAACGAGTTTCACAGTCTTACCCAGCAGGTGGAAACAGCTTCTGCAGAAAAGGTAAGAAGAAGTTCTAACTGCTCCCATGGCTATTGCAAGCGTAAATGCTATCCCCCACTTTCAAACGGATCACCTTTCTCAAAACTTTCTCCCGGTTAACGATACAAAATTTCTAGACACTGATGAAAATCATCATTGGTGCTGTCATTCTTAATTCCATTCACACCATTGTATATCATGTTTAGATGACTGTCAGTCAGTGATCATGATATAAACATAAATAATTTGTATTGAACAAAAATACAAAATTTGTGAAATATCCTGCCCCTGGTAGCAACTTGATTTGTGTGTGCTGTTGTACAGCCCTGATTGCTCATTATACAGCAGTCATATTAAACCCTTGCCCACATTTCTGGATATGCTTATTGTTTTATGAGGGTAAGTGACAAAAATTGCTGATTTTTTTGTTAATTGGAATAATAATTGGTAGGGTGATCTTCATGGGGAGGGCATGTATCTCACACAGGAGAGATGAAAAATTAATTCATTGTAGCTACTGAACCTGAAAGGAAGAGACCACTTTGTGATACCTGGGTCAAGATGGAAAGGTAATTTTAATCCTCTGAAGCTTTACCTTCATCTAAGCAGTAATTAAAAATTCACTCTCTGCCTTTCATAAAACACAGCTTATCCATCACAGCTGGTTTATATTGTTTAGGGAAATAATTGCTGTTTATTATGAGAATCATACAAAACCCACAATTATACTCTGAGGGCAAAGAGAAGAGTTTCCAAAGGTTAGAGCATATGTAATGCAGTTACCGTTATGCTTTAAACACTTTAACTTATTTATTTAGAACTGAGTTGTGAGGTTATGAGCTAGATTCATCTGGCTTAGGATAGTGCTAGTGGCAGACTTTTGTAACAGTTATTACTGTATTGCGTTGCATTCAGTGTTGTTATGAAGTCATGGTTCTCTTGCACCTGTTATGCAGCAGAATATCATATACATGTATTTGTCATACATGTGTATACTATTTTCCTTGCTTTTTATATATCTGATTGTGCTGACTCTGTAATTGGTTCCAGTAGCTGTTGAGATAGCACTTAAAATAAAGAATAGAATTGAACAATAATTATTACTATAATAATGAATAATTATCACTGGAATTTTTACACATTGTTTCCTTTTAATATTTGTAAGAGGAAACTAAACAGTCACCCTGTCATGGATAATCTTAGTCTTTGTGTACCGATTAATTAGGAGCCATTCCCCTCTTACTGTAAGCAGTAGTGTAAGCCCCAGTCCTTCAGCCAGGTGAGCCACTGCTGCTAATGGTACATGTCAATTTTCATATGCTTTTAATAGGAATACAGTTTCCCTGGCAGATACATTTCTTTTGTATGTCCCAAGTTAATTTATTACTTCCTTTAATTTTATCGTTATTTATTTTTTATTTTCTTTTGTATTGTGTATTTTAAGGGCTTGCCTGTAATAGACCACTGCTGTTGGCAGGCGCTCTAATAAAGTAAAAGTGTAAGTCCAGGGGTGTGGTGAGTACTTGGAACCTTACTCTTGAAATGGTTTTGTATCGGTCCAACAGGATACACTTGAAGCTAAGATGAAAGATATGCTGAAGATGCTTGAGGTTACAGTGAATGAGCTGGAGGAGAAGTTGTTAAAGAAGAGGGCAGAGCAACGGCCACAGGCAGCCAGCACACCTATCAGTATGGTGCTTCCTCAGCCAGAACAGGTGAGACCTGCAGTTCAGTTCTAAAGGAAGGCAGTACCAGTTATGTTCTTATACAGTCCTGTAAGACAATGAAGCTGTGATCATTAATGTTGTCTTCATAATGTTCTTAATCTTTGAATGATGAGTTTTGTTACCATTTCATTCTTCTGCTGCACAATGCTTTATAACCTGGTCTGAATTTGGGCATTGGACTAATTACAGTGATTTGATCCTGTCAGGTGGACTAAACAGTTATAAAAATTACAATCTCATACCTTAAGGACTTTTTTCCATAATTTTAGAAAAGTTATCTGTGTTTAAGAAACTTAGTTAGTTAAATGTTAGTTATATCCATGTAAAATTTTCATGGCATGGAGTTATGCTTTATTAGCTTAACTGGCCCCCAGTTTTCTGCTTTCCCAAACTGAACTGTCACAAGTTTCCACTGTCTTCCTCCAATAGCTGGTAGGTCTAAATGTTATTGGTAGTATCTAGAGTATAAATTCAGGAGCCACCCACATTGAATTAAGTGCTAGCCAATCAGTGCGGACCGTGGCAGCTGCAGTGCCTAGATGCAGACCTCTGACACACTAGCAGCAGTTGCAGCTATGCCTACATTGAGAGAGCAGAACAAGAGTGAGTCTCCGAGGATCATCACCATCAGGCCTACTCCACACAGCAACAGCAGCAGTTGACTCTGCTAGCAGTCACATGGATCCCCCAAGAAGTTCACCACCCAGCGGCCAGCCTGCAGTCACCGAGCTGCCACTAAAGTAGGACTGCAGACACTAGCACAGAGTAGCCTGCTGTGACACAAGCTTCTCCGAGCATCCATCAGGAGCACCCAGCCTCAGACATATCCCTTTTCAGGGCCACAACCTGACCAATTAACGCACACTTTGCATTAGGAATACTGCCCTTTTCAGGGCCCACAACACCTCATCGGTTACTGCATACTCAGCCTGCCTATCTGCCTGCTTGTCTTTATACTCTGTTAACAACAATAAATATTTGTTATAGAGATTAGTTGGTTGTCTCTCCATGCTACTGGATTTGACATCCCACATACATCACACATGACTAGCTCAGCACTGAAGACTATGCTTGTGTCAAGTTCAGTTGTGAAATTGAATATGATTTTGAACAAGGGTTTTCTTGTTGGATTTAAGGTTCACACAGTGATGACTACAAACAGTACATACAGTTGTGTGGATTGTAACGCCATGTAGCACAAAAGTTCCCAATGTTTCAAAGAAAAATATCACCTCCATCTTCAGGATCAATAATAAACCAAGAAAGAAATCAACAGAAGCAAGCTTAGCTTGCCACATGCTTCTGTTTGTTTCTTGCTTCACTTACTCTTTTTCCCTGACAGTGGAGTCATTATGTTCCCCAGCAAGATTAGGCTATGTCTGAAATACAACCCAGAGAGCCATACTCTTCAAGGGGTTTCTTGTACAGTGTTTTCTTAGAGCATTGATTTTGGAGAATATTCTGCTAAAATTTTCAAATAATGAGTCCTAGTTTTATGTGGAGCAGATTCAGAATGTTGTAAAATTGTGCAACTAGTTTGATGCTAGACAGAAAGATAACAGAAAATGAAATGTTTGGAAGACACGCTGGATGACAATGCTGCTGGAATAAAGCTAATCTTTTGGCCTTTTAGTGTGATATGTAAATTACATCATTTCATGCTGCACAAAGCTGTTCAGGCTTCCACTGCACAGAATTGTGCAGATCATGAAGGAACTGCCTGCTAGACATAATCCTTTTTAAATGTCAGGTACTCCATGGGAGATTAGGTATCACATCTCAAAAGGCTGGAAAGAATTTAAAATTGAAAAAAATAAATATAAAAATAAAATATTTCATATTTATGAAAGTGATACAATATTATTGATTGCATCTTGTTTTCACTTTCTTTGTAACTTCCTATCGATTACAGAGAGCTTGTACACCTGATAGTGGAGTGGATAAAGATGGTAATGATTTAAAGTCGTTGCAAAATAATGTAAACATAGCAATGTGTGTTCAGGTCTCTTCTGCAGGTGACCAGCAGTTTCCACGTGGTATACTCAAGGCACCAGTACCCGAATCACTAGTCAGCAGCAAACAAGTTCAGTTCTTTGGACTGAGCAGTGACAGCGAGATTAGTCTGGTAAGCATACTTAAGCAGTGAACACTTTGTTCAGGGCTCCCTGAGACATGTCCAAGTTTGAGGTTAAAGAAAGAGAGATTTGTGAATGTAAAGAATGCCAGGCATGCACCTTGAATTAGTCCACATTAATTTTTAGATCTGGCCTACTGATCATCTGCCTATATAAAGCTTCATACTGAAAACATCTGGGTTATGATACCGTGCAGTCTGTTAAGTAGATATGAATGTTTCCAAGGGACAGTCTGTCTTCAAAGCTGAAATTGAGGCATGGACCAATCCCAGATGACCTGTAGGAACTGTGTGACTCTGGAACAAGAGTAAGAGTGTGCAGCTACACATGCTTGAAAGGAAAAGATTGTAACTGGGTTTCTTTATTCATATGTAGATGCACCACCCACCTCTTTTCCTGAAGTGCAGTATTTGTGATTGTCATTGGTGTGTCTGGGCATAATCATTCTTTTCTTATTCCAGGCTTTGATTGTCCACACTATTCCTTCATGGCTCATCTCCCCTCTCACTTCTCTGACTTACCAATTTGCTAATTGGGCTTGCTTAACCTGGAGGCAGTAAGCTACTCTGATACTCACCCACCACACTACAGACATTCATAACCCAGAATATGAAACTTCACCAATAAGAAACTTTCAATCTTACCAGAATTACTGAGTTTTTGGACTTTCTTTATTGTCTTGTATTCCAAAAAAACTAAAGAACATAATGTTTCAGAAAGTGGATCTGTTTCCATCTTCATGTCTCCAAACCCTTCACATGAGGATGGAAACAGATCTCATTCCTAAAACTTGTTCTTTAGAATACTGGACGATGACAGAGTCCAAAAACCCAGTGTTATACACCATTGTCAGAGTTCTATAGAATCTATTAAGATATTGTATATAAAACTTCCTTACTCTGAGTTCAGGCAAGTGCCTAGACAGATATGAATCATGAATTAAGAATTGTTACAAATGTGTTATCTTACTAGTTCTCAAATACATAGGACAGCAGCTGGTCTTACACTGATGCAACTCAGTATCTGGATGTATATGATGGAGAGCTATGCTCTGAGTTTATTGTGACTGGATATTAAGCTGTTCTTTTCTTCCAATGCACAGGACAGTCATTCTGTAGACTCAGTGGATCATATTATTTGTTTATGGTGTTTGCAGTTGGATGAACCTGCCCTTCCCAGTACACATGCAAAAACAGCAACTGTAAAAGAACCTTCTTCAGAAGATGATTTCATGTCAAACACACAGAAGGTAACATCTGTTTACAAGGGTGATACCCTTTTTGACTGCAAGACAGTGTTAAGATTTTTATGTGCTATCTGTTTAGCCTTTATCTTACAGGAATCGGGGGTTTAAAACCTTGATACTAGAGGGCAGCCAGCCAGGTTTTAAATTGGGGAAGGGTTAACTATGAATGCTGTAAGCATTGGGGGAGGGAATGAATTACTGGAACTCCGAGGGTAAGTCAATAAGTAAGTTACAAATGGATATAGAACTTAAACAAATAAGAGTACTGATTTTAAAAATTCTTTTATTTCTCAACATATTCTTCATGTACATTGAGGCACTTGTCCCATCATTTCACAAGCCCCTGAAAACTAGCAGTATAAAATTCTTTGGGCTGCTCTCGGAACCAGGTGGTGACTTCCCTTTCTACAGCTTTATCATTGGGAAAATGTTCAGCTGAAAGAGGATGTTTAAGGGGACCAAACAAATGGAAGTTGCTTGGAGCAAGACTCATCACTTCTGACAATTTGGGCTAGCATATCATGTCCATTGTGGTAGCGACTGAGATGCTGTAATGCCAGACCCATTCTTTGCACTTTGTGTTGTGGGGTCAGCATGTGTGGCACCCATCGTGCACAGACTTTGTGGAAACCTAACCTGTCGTCCGACTTCCATTTGTTCGGCCCTCTTAAACATCATCTTTCTGCTGAACATTTTCCTGATGATGAAGCTGTAGAAAGGGAAGTCACTGCCTGGTTCCGACAGCAGCCCAAAGAATTTTATGCTGTTGGTTTTCAGGGGCTTGTGAATCAGTACTCCTTTATTTGTTTAAGTTCTATATCCATTTGTAACTTACTTATTCACTTACCTACGTATTACAGCCAAAAAAGTAATTCATATGAACATGTTTGAAGGAGAATATGATGATAATTTCTATAGTATTGTTTCTTTTACCAGTACAAAAACCATTCCATCAAAATTGTAGATTCTTGAAACTAAACAGAATATTATTTATATAAATGTAAATGTACATGTTTATAGAAATTCTCTCATTTCCACATGATGGAACTCTGACTTATATGTTTACCTTTATATGATTTATTCAAAAACACAACTCTTTGCACTTTGAACGGACAAATTTGGCAGTCATTTGTTTCTTGGCAGAGATATCACAAGCTTGGGTGTACCTGCACCTAACCAATGCTCGTTGTGAGAAACCTCAATGGCTGGCCATTCAATTAGAGAACTAGGCCCCTTTGCATTAATTTCAAACAGATTTCAAACCAAATGCAGTTTAAATTTTCAGTGGTCTTTTTGGGTGTCACAGGATGAGAAAAGAATGCGGCTATGCAATATAATTAGTTCATGAAGAGAAAAATTACATCTTTGTCCAGTTCCATATTCTTTGACTAACTGAATATGTGTCAGTCATTCTGTTTCCATCAACATAATCTATGCGCCAGTTGTGTTCTTCAACAGTGGAGAGCCTTTGAGCTCTCCCAGGTTCATCACAGAAATTTCCTTATGCGGATGGCTTATGCATATTCATCAGTACACCTTTCCAAATCATTGCTGTCAAGTCATTTCTCATCTTAGGATGTATGTAACTCTGTTTTGATTTCACTAGCCCCTCTAGAATTACCTGGCAGTCCTTTGCGGTTCTGTCTGACAGTTCCACAGCAGTTGAGAGATCTTACAGGAAAATAATTAAATGAATGTGGAGAGGAAAGAAAATTGTGTGAATTTGTCACCTGTGTCTTCTCCTTTTTTTATGAGACTCTTCATTTTCATGTGTATAGCTTTTATCATTCGTGTTGCATTTTGGCTGACCTTTCCCAAATATGTGCTCATATTGTAAGTAGTTCTACAGCCCGTCATGTTGAGAATTAGCAAATTTTTGTACCAAGTATTCGTTTTCATTAGGAGTGCATTGCTTCAAAATAGCTCTTGAAATGTTCACATCTGTCAGGACTGTAAAATTTAGCACAGGCATCATTCAACTTACCAAACAGAGATACCATTTAATGTATTCACTTTGTTGCAGGAATATAGACATCTCAGTATATGAAAGAGTGAGTTGTTGTTTTAGCATGTTACTGTAAAATGGAGTACAGCACTGTTCCAGGAGAGATCACATTTGTCCCTGATGTGTCCCATTTGTATTACTGTAGTAGTAATAGTAGCTGCAGCTACAGCTCCCACACCGCCACTGCTGCTGCTCCTGGCATCATTGCCTTAGTAGCCAACAAGGTGTTCCCCTTCCGTACTGTCAAGTGCCACTACCATTGCAATGAGGGTCTAAATACTGGTTGCAGTATTTAGCAGTCTCTGCCACACAATGTTGGATCTCATTCATGAACCAAATGATAGGAGATGATAACCGATATTTCTCTACTAATTATATATATGAACCATTTTTCATAAGAGGAGCCTTTTGTATCTCTAATCCACCAAAACCACCAATGAAAGAATGGACACCACCAGACTTCTAGTGGTGTCGTAGTCTCCAAAATCGTATATATATAATCGTGTGTATATACCACACTTGAACACTAATGTAACAAAACTACACAGATTTATATTACAGACATATGAAAGAGCTTTTATTTTTCTGGTTCCTTGGCTATTGTCATAACAGGACTAAGGAAGGCAGTGTCTGGGCTTGACATATCTGATGATGGCCTATCCCACACCCTCATTCCTGTCTCCCCACCAATTACAAACACAAGGGTCGTACTGAAAGTCATGAGCAACAATTTTTTGTAAAGTAACATGCTTTATTATTGACAAACCAAATACACCACCTCAATCTACAGACCTTTTTTATTTTTCCACATAATTGCCTCTTCTTTGTACACATTTCTCCCAGTGTCCTGGGAGTTTGAAAATTCCACTTCTGTAAAATTCTGTTCCAGCCATCCGAAGACACTGACGCACTGCTTTCTGAATTGCCTCCCTTGCCTCAAAACGTCCATGCAGCTGATCCTTCACAAATCTGAAAAGATGGTAGTTGGAGGGTGCCAGATCAGGGCTAAAGGAGGGGTGTGGAAGAACATCCCATCTTTGCAATTGCTTCCAATGTGAGACAAGCGGCATGGGGGTGAGCGTTGTCATGCAGGATGATGATGTTTCATCCTGGATGTTTATCGCGCAATGCACGACGGAGCTTGTGCAGCGTCTGGACATAACGAGCAGCATTGATGGTTTGCCCACGTTCCAGGAATTTGGCCAGAATAAACCCCTCTGCATCCCAGAAGACTGTGCTCATCACCTTCACAGCTGATGGCACTGTCTTTGCCTTCTTTTTTGATGGAGAATGCAGATGATGCCATTCCATACTCTGTGCTGTTTCGTTTCAGGCTCGAAATGGTGAAACCAGCTTTCGTCACCTGTCACAATACAGAGCAAAAAAGTCATCGCCTTTGTGTCAATATCTCTGCAGCAGTTCTGAGGTTATGGCTTTTCGCTGACCTTTGTGGTCTTCGGTCAATAACTGCGGGACCCAACAAGCACAAACTTTCCTATAGCCCGAGCTCTGAATCATCTCCTGTACTGCACTTGCCCTATTCCAAGTTTTTGTGCTATTATATCCACAGTCACATGCCTGTCATCTTGACTGATCTCATCCACGCTTTCCTTGTTGCGATCAGTTGAGGCTGTTCGAGGACGACCACTTCGAGGCTCATCTTCGATGCTGGTGTTCCCATCTTTAAAATGTTTCACCCATCTTTGAACACTGCTCACACCCATGCACACACTTCCATAAGCACGCTGAAGTCTCTTGTGAATTTCTGCAGCAGGGATTTCCTCTTTCACAAGACATTCAATGACAGCATGCTGGCGAAACGACATATCGTTGTCAGCCATTTTGTTAGGAGTGATACTGGTCATGTGATGCAAATTATTGACGTCACAAGACACTCAAGGTTAACACAACAGCTGGTTCCACCTACCACCATACTCTCGTCTGCTGTTCCCAGGTTGCATGCAAAAAAAAAGTTACTTTCTTTGGGTCTTCTGTTTGGCTTATTCAGATGCTCCTGTCTCAGGACTCACAAGCCATTGAATAAATATGAGTTTTGTGTTGACAGGCCGATTACTTAGACATGATGTGACTGGACCCTGCCCCCCCCTCCCAATAATTAATGTCTGTGAATAGCTAACAACAGGAAAATAGAATGTGCATAACATTTCCGTGCCATATCTGCTGCATCCTGGCTCAAAATATTAGGTTATTTTGCATAGCCAGTAAACGGCATATATTTCTTGTTCTCCAAAATATTACTTCTACAATACCATTAAGATGGTTGTGATGTATACCAATTTTCTAAAGGCTTTTATAGGTATATTGGCTTTCTGAATTATGGTGAGTGCATTAAGATTGCATTTAAAGATGTGTGACTGTTCATTTCAGTTGATTTTAATTAAGTAGTTACTATTAAAATATTCGTTATTGTTTTGTGTTGTTTTATCAGTGGCATAACAAAGCAAGATTGTAACAAAAACTTTGTCAGGAAATCAGAATGTCAGAAGATATCTGAATTAAATTAAAATTAAATAGACAAATATCTCCTATCAAGTATATTACTACCTTCTCTTTCTTCTACAGTGGCATGTGGGTATTTTATCTTTGAATATAAAAGTGGTCCTTATTATGAAATCCAGGATCCTGGCCAGTTGTAAATGATAGATAAATTATTTCTCAGTGGTGTACCAATGTAAAATTTTCTTTGGCTTCACCAGTTTCGGTATTAATAAACTTACCTTAGATGCTTTTGTCACAATAAATATAGTATAGGTTGTAAGTATTGAACCTGTTCTGGTATCCATTTTGTTTATGTTCTGTGTTTGCATAAATTAATGCCATTGTAATAAAGTTGTTTCCTTAATGTTATATTTTAGCGTCCTGTTGCACTGATTTAAGTCCATGATTTATTTCAATCGTCTTCCAGTTTTGTGCCGAAACATGTAGTGCGAGAGAGAGGAGGAGACAGATGAATGTATGCACTGGAAGACGGTTGAAATAAATCATGGACATGTTTCCTTATTTTCTACTCTTCCTTTTATTCCCCTCTTCCTCTTTTCTTACCTGTAACGACCAAGATTTGAGAGTTAAGCTGTTATCCCAGTGACACATGGCATATTTGGTGCAGTCTGTTATTACAGTAACAAAAAAAAAAGGTAAAGCTATCTCTGTAACAGGCCTTGAATGCCTATAGGGTTGTGCGACTTTGAGGCTCCCACATTTCCTCTAGAGAATCAGCTCACAGATGGCAGTAAGGTTGTCAGTCTTACACGCTGGCCATCCTTTATTCCCCAGGAAGTTTCCTGGTATTCATTTCTGTTAGAAGCTGAGTCAGCCCCAGGGCCATAATGCAGCTGGAATGATTAGGTCAATTGAAAAAATTCATCTCATCAAGAATAGAACCAGCAACCTTCTGGCTTGTAGCATAATGCCAACTATGCTACCACATGTCCCCATTATTACAGTGACATGAGAGTTCAAGAAGGAACCTGCAGCTCTCAGTTTCAGTGCCTGGTACATTAAATATGGTTGTTATTACATTAATTTTTATTTTGAAATTTCACATCCTGAAACAAAAAAAGTCTTTATATCTTTGCAGAGCCAGTCAGCGCAACTTATTGACAATCCAAAACGCATCGCCAAGGAAACGCAACCCAGAAAGTTTTTCAAGTCCAGATCTCAGCCCATTAGGAATACCGGAATCCAAGTAGTACAAGGCAGCCCTGCTACCTCCAATATGGGCTTTGATGACTAGGAGCAGTAAGTGCCTCAGCACACTTCATCACACTCAACATAAATGAAAGGTAGCAAACATTGCCTAAGTTTACATTGCTTCTGATTTGTTCACAAACGTAAATTTGATTTGATTTACTGAAGAACTCGGTCAGTATAGTGATTAAGCTGCTGGCTGGATGACTGAGGAAACAGGATTCATTTCCAGCCAACTTATCTTCCTGTTTAGTGGGTGCCAAAGGCCTTTTTCTCCAGTGTGAAGCTGATCATCACTTCCATCTAGTATCAAGATTAAGAATGAGTCAAGCTGTACATCCCCTCACCCGTGCATGTTCGTGGCATGGAGCATGAATAAGCACACAGATGACTTCACCTTTTATTATTGATCCCAAATATTTAATGTTTCACACACTTCGTAAGCATTTGTTAACTACTTTTTGTTATTACTTTTGTCCTGCATTGTGGTGACAGGCATCCATACTTAGTTGTCTTTACATTTTCTTCTATACTGACACCCATACTAGCTTCTGTGTTGGTATTTGTTCTTTTTCCCAATAAATTACATGATTAGCATAGCCCATGTGATGATTTGTTGCAGTTCAGTTCCAGTACCTCCCAATTTTCTTTGATTTGGCTTATGCAATATCCCCATGAAGATGTTTATGATACTCAGTTTTTATTTTGTAAAAGTGCATAAAATGAACATAGCATAGATCATTATTTATTATTTGTGAAGAGTAACCTCTTCGTTTCTAAATGACATCTTCAAATCTCAGACGGTTTCCTAATTTATTTGCAGCTCTTTGAAGATTTAATACTCTCCATTTCAAGACACCAGACTTCAGAACTATGCAGTTATGTAATGAGTCCAACCACACAAAAAAAATGTGTATGCATTAACAGATGATACATGTTACAAGAGTTACTTTCTTCATATGTAATGTGAATATCAGTTGGCAGTAATTACTATGTTTCTGTATTCAACTTTCTATAAAAAAATTTTATGATGTGTCATAATTCACCAACTCAGAATTCTAAATGTTTTTAAGGAAGATAGTTTTTTAATGTGTTAGTTAAGGAATCTTGTTCATATGTAGTTCACTTAAGTCAGAATAGGAATTAAATGTTCTATAACTTTCATATTATTATATAATTAAAGTGTTTTTGTTGTTTCAATTTTGTGATCTTTATAAGGAAAGAAACGTTCATGTTTCTTTTCATACAAGTTAATGCTTTATTCTCATAAGTTATTGTGGTAACTTAATGTAATGTTAAAATTTTATTCACAGTAAAAGTACTAATTGCTGCTCAAAGTTAATTTCCCTTTCCCCATATTAGTATGGCGAAATGTGTGAATTTCATCTTCCATAATTTCTATCACAGAAGTTGTCATTTCTTGTTTATGTGAATTCTTTTTTGTCCTTTCAGACATTAACTTATGTATGAGTTGGGATCTTGAAGGGATTGGTAACCTTTCTCCAGAACTAAGGAACGCAGTCTGAACAGAATGGCAAGGATTATGATATGGAGCCATTCTCATTGTTTTTAATGATAGGTTGACATTTCTAAATGCAGAATTAAACAATAAATAGCTCATACAGTGCCCATTTTTATATATGCAGGTGCATCTGATTAAACAGAGAGGTTAGATATTAAAACAGCTATAATTTCATATATATTCAGTTTGTGAAACATTTAATAGAAATAGTTTAAATTTTTCTCTTTTCAATTATTTTCAGAAAATGATGATGTGAACATAATATTCGTTTCATTGTGCATTAAAGAAGAATTGGCTGACATTGGAATCCCTGATTTGTCCTTTATTTATAGAACATCAAGAACAGTTAAGACATCATAGGCATCAGGAGATTCCATATGAAAGACAGGCACACGAGGGAGTTGAATATTGTTATGACACCTAGTTACGAAAGGACTGTTTTCTGAAGAATATTTAGAAACATTGTAAATTCTCCTTTGAGTAGAAATATTTAATATTTTAACAATATATTATAATTAATTGCCTGTTAGGTAAACATGACATGTTTAACGGAAGTTAATTATTAAGTACTAAAATGCAAAATGAGCTTCTGTTTGCAGAGCTCTTTATCCACTGTCATATCCAGATGCGATTAAGCTCATTCATCCTGTCTTTATTTTTATTTCCTTCCTAACAATGATGCAATGCAGGAAATTTTAGTACTAGAGTACACAATTTTCATTTCTGCCTAACTTCTGAACTACATCATTCTGTGTCTGTGTCTGTGTAACGAATTTAGGTGTTAGGCGAATACAAGCCGTGCATGAGCAGCAGTAGAATATTAATTATTTTCCGTGCTATATATGAAATAAGAAAACGAAACAAGTTGTTGGCTACATTTTATGTAAAGGAGAGTATATCACAAATTAAACCCCATCTTATTTTTACAAAACTTGAGTGTGTATGACTACTTGCTTATGCCAAAATGTCCATTTCCGGCTTTGGGCTATCTTTAGTTCCTTTTGCCATGCAAATGCAGTGTTTGAGGTTTACCCAGTTCTTAGTAAGAAACACTTGTATGGACATTTCCAGCAAGTATTAATCTCTTAAGCTCTAAAGTCCCTTTAGAATTCCTTTCTGTCTGGTACCCTTTACAGCGGAACAGTCATACACCTCTTTAAACATGACAAATTCCATGTCTAGCTTAAAGCTTGTGACTCCCCAAATATGTGCGTCTCTAACTATCCACATACAAAGCTCGGGGTTCTAATCCCTTTAAAATCTTGGCCCCTAATATCCACACTGGACAAAACAATAGACTTTTGACCCATACGGCTCAGTCGGGCTCCTCGAATCATTTACATACTTCACACTACATGTTTCTACCCCATTTCTGTGTCATTTTCAGATGGTATACACACTCAAAATCAATCATCTGGGTTGTAACGCCATATGTTGTAATAGAACATGAGTACCTTAACCATAAGCATTGTCAAATTGATCAAATAATGTTAAATAGTGAAATATACAATTATAAATATGAGAATATATAGGTAGTAAAATTAATTTAATTATAATGTACTGTGTGAGATCATGTGCGTATTTTACGTGTATGTTGTCAGTATGATTTCTTGTCTACAGCCAGTGAAATAATATTTGGAACAACAAGTGCGAATAGAACAGTAAAGGTTCAATGAAATTAATTATGTTATTTATGTTGCAGATCTATGCCAGTTTGTCCACAGTTTACTCCACGTGGTATGAAGATTAAAATACTTATTATGTAACAGCAGTCTTTAATATTGATTACCATTACTTTACTCAGTCTAAGTTGTACATATGTTCTTTATTCAATAATTAAATTCTAAATTCTGCATTCTGAAATTGTTATGTATGAAAAGGAACAAATTACTGGTTTCTTTACTTCAGTTTTAAAACATGTCATCTGAAACATGGATCTGAAAATGTTGCATGCTGGTAAGTTCTGCTATCTCTGGGACTTTCAAGGCAAACTTTTCTCTCATAATAATTTATGAAATTGTTAATATACAATGAGAAGAAAACGTTAAAAGCAGAATATCGTAGAACTCCAATTTTGAATGTGCAGTGAAGTCCTAACCATTCGGAGAAGAGCAACAAAAGAAAAAAGAACTCTGTGGCTTTAGTCCGCAAGTGAACTATACTGACCAAGCGCCCGCCACTTGTTGGCGAAGTTAGTAAAACTTTAGCAGATAGAGGGCGTACTTACAGTATTTTTTCTACAGTAAGAAAATCCCCACCACCGTTAATTTCGGTTTTCTACACTGGAGCCGCTACTTTTTCATTCAAGTAGCTCCTCAGTTATCCTCGTGAGGCTGAGTGTACCCCATTCCAGACCCACTGCTTCTCATAAAATCCAGTAGCGCCAGGAATCGAACCTGGGACCTTTGGGTCTGTAGCCAGGACCTCTGACCACAAGACCACAGATGCTGTCGGAGAACACCAACTCCCCGTTTTAATGCAGCCACTAACACAAGTACGTATTACTGTTCATGGGACTCCTCTCCACATAGTCAGGATCCAATCACAACATTCAATATAGAAAGAAAAAATACAGAACATGTGATTCAAGAAGCTCTTCTAAATATTATCACATATTTAGGAGTGACTATAGGTGGGGTTTGGATTGGCGAATTAACCACATAGAGGTCGTAACTACCAACAACTATACCACTATCGCTGATTTCCACACTTCACAAATCATTACACGCTAAGTCTTCTCAATTTGTTTTCACTAGTCATTCCTGGTAACAGTTCTTAACAATAAAGATTCCCCAGTGCCTGTGTTCACGTCGTTACTGTCCAGCGAATATCCCACAACTGAACATTTTTCTCCACAGCCAGACTTTCAACTCACAACTAATTGGATCACCATTGCTTCTCAGCTTTCATTACAGAGCTCAACTGAATTGTCAACCCTCAACTCTTCTATAGAATAGAATAGAATACTATTCAAAATTAAATTTCCTCACACATAATTTGGTTTGTTCCTTAAGTTCTGGCAACTGGCATGTTGGTCCGCCTCTTTCTATAAANTCATTATTTGTTTCAAGGTCTCTGCCTAGCAACTGGTCTGTATGCCACAGTATGAACTTCATATTAATATGTCTGCAGCTGATGACAGAGAGACTACTGATAGCAGGTCCACGTACCTGAAATAACGCACACTCATGACTAATCATGACCTCACACTGAGATAAAATTAGAGTTTGGGGGGTGTCTACACCTCTATCCACACACAACCTTCGCAATAAAAGGGCAGGAGTCACCCTTCCAATAATAGTTATGCTACAATTTGGTTTCAGTGAGATGGGTGACCACTCCCAGCATGATAATACAGGCCAACTACGCGGGCCCTGGTGGTGGCACGATTTTAGGTGCGTCACGTTTTACACCACTCTTTTTCTTCTGTGGATTTTTGATCAATTACAATTAATTTCTCCTATGATTTTGTTGATATATTAACAGTTAATTGGTAGCCATCTAAACACTGTAGGCAACAACATAAATATAACTGAAGTTCAAGCGCTGATACTGTTGTCTGGTTATAAATAATAAGTTCTTCATATACATAAACCGAAGTAGTGACAAGAGGTTGGAGAAAACTGCATAATGAGGAGCTTTGTAACTTGTACTCTTCTTCAAATATAATTAGAATGACCAAGTCAAGGAGGATGAGATGGGCATGGCGTGTAGCACGAATGGGGAAAAAGAAGACTGCATGTAGGATATTGGTAGGAAAGAGACCACTGGGAAGACCAAGACGTAGGTGGGTGAAAAATGTTAAAATGGGTCTTAGAGAGATAGGATGGGATGGTATGGATTGGATTGGTATGCCTCAGGATAGGGACCAGTGGAGGGCTCTTGTGAAGACGGTAATGAACCTTCAGGTTCCATAAAATATTGGGAAGTTCCTGAGTAGCTGCAGAATTGGCAGTTTCTGAAGAAGGGCTCAGCTCATTGGCATGTGGTACTATTTTTTGTAAGGGAAGCA